TATATATATATATATATAATTAAAAGAACATTTTATATCTATGAATTAGAAATGGTTTTTGTTAAAATTTTGTATTGAATTTTTAACAAAAATTATTTTTTTTCATTGCTTAGAACTGAATTTCTTGCACGCAATTTATCTTTTTTCTTTTCACATTGGTTCAAATTACAAATAAAAAAGACTGTAATAATAATAAAAAAAATATATGTTTTAGAACTTAAATTTGAAGATGAATAAAATACATATGTTAATTTAATTAATGTAAATGTTAATTATTTTATTGAAAAAAATATATGTTTCCACAATTTGTTTACAAATTGTGTTAATGTTATAAATATTTGTTAACTTTTTTACATATATTTGTATTACTTTCTAACACATATATTTGTTAAAAGCAAATATTTGTCTTTTTCATTTAGCAAATGCAATTTTTTCGTTATTTTTTTTTAAATTAGTACATAGTCAAAAATTTTATATTTATGATTAGAAACAATCTTTGTGTTATACAATATCAACACAAAAATGTTAATGGACCGTTTGGACTCGTGTAATATGTTAAATTTAACATAAATCTTCAAACCGTGATGATATATTCGCAAATAAAAGTAATTGCCACTCACATTCCCTATGCCAATTTGTCACTCTGCTTTATTTCCTCTCTCATTGAAAAACTCGCGTTTTCTACATTTTTTCCGATAATAATCCAAACCGGAACCGGAATGTCGGAAGCATAACGATACCGAGTGTACCAAAAATGCACGTTACGTCGCGCGATTGGAATCGACAATATATGTTCAGTGCACGCACGATACAATGTAATACACGAGTACATGTTTTATCATAATTTTAACGAGCTGTTGTTTTCAAAGCAAACTGTATTAAGAAATACAAAGAAAAAACAGGGGACTTGGCGAGTAAAAAGCGAAAGGCAGCATGAGCGATGCGATGCAATGTAGTGGAGTGTGGAGTCTCGCGTGTACACTCGTTTCCAACAATCAGCTGACTTCCGGTACCACTGTGAGACGTTAGAATGTTAGCGAAGTGTTTCGGCCGTTTCGCTTGACGGAAGAGTGTCCGTTTTTTCCGCGTGAAGAAACGTGCGCGGAACACAGTCTCCCTTTCGCGAGATCGCGCAAGTCTTTTCCCGTGTTCGACAGTTCCGGCCGGAACGAAGCGATGTGATCCCCGCCTAACCACGCAACGGAATCGCATCTTTTGAAGATCGAGTTTCCTATGTCGTTACCCGATCTCTAGCGGGTGATCTCGTGTCGCACCACATGGTAAGCACGATTTCGCGATAGTCTTCAAATAAAAAAGAAATCTGATTTTTTTTTTATCGGGAAATGTATCCTCTGGTGTCCTTGTTATGTGTGTGTATGTGTGTGTGTTTCTTGGTTTGTAGGATGCCGTGTAACACCATCGCCGCCAGTCTCGTCGAGGATAATATGAATCCAGAAGGGAACGACGGAAACAGTCAGGATAAAGCGGAGGTCAGATTGGACGTTGGTCTGAAAAATGACAATCAATCTGTGGACCAAGACGCTAGAACGTCCAAGGTACAGCTGGAAAACGGAGCCGAGGAACAGTTGAGGCTGAATAACAATAGCAGCGAGAGTAACATTAAACTCGTGCTGCCATCCAAAACCTCTGTTGTGCTTTCCAACGGGACAAACTCCATACAAACTCCTGTGTCTGATAGTGCCAATTCTTTGGAGCAAAACGTTTGTCAAGATGCGAGCATATCTTCCATATTTACAAACGCGACTGCTAATATCAAGCCTCAGACTGTAAACACCAATACCGTTAATTGTCAATTGAAGCATAAGACTGTCATGAATGCGAGTTTGTTGAATTTGCCTAAATCCCAAATGCACTTGAATCTATCTTCCACTCAAACAAATATACACCACAATCATAATTTAGGGTCAACCGTTCTTAATTCTACTGTAACTACCAGTGCTATGTTACATTCAAGTGTTTCTACGTTAAATGTATCAGTAATGCCTTCTAATTTATCAACGATTAAATCAAACGATGATGTGGATATGAAGAATAATGTGGATTATGCATCTGCCATAGAGAAATGCCCTTCTAAAGTTTCTTGTAGCTCAGATTCTAGTCCAGACGCTGACTGTTCTTGGACATCAAAGTCTTATGGATCTAAACGTGTATTAAATAATATAGGTGGTAGTATAGGTTCAACGAGTCAAGGAACTTGTTGTTTTTTGAGACCTAATATCAATGGCAGTAGAGAAATTGCTGGACCCAGTGGATTACAGAGAGTATGATTTCGCAAACTGGTTCATGTAATTAAATATTTATATTTTTTTTACAGAATTTAAAGTTTTCTTGCTTTTTTAGACTTCACAAAGAGAACAGATAGAGCGGATGGATTCTAGTTCTGGAAATGAAGGAGATATGTCTGATGGAGAAGACTATTGTTTTTATACTTATAAAGGAAACAATGATGTGATTCCTTTAGATCACCAAGAAGAATTGAATCAGGACCATGCAGCGAATCAGGAAGCAGAGGGACAAAACCACAGTGGTAGGTCGAGTCCAGAGATGGATTACTTGGAAATGGATTTTGATCCTGGGCCTTCTTGTGAACTGGTAAGATATTTCCTGTATTATGAAATCGAGATTATAATATTCCTTCAGATCATAATATTTCTTCTTCCCTTAAAGGATACTGGAGATAGTGATCTGGCCTCCATAAATGAAGATATACAAAATATAGCATTCGATAATGTAGAACAAGACCCAGTGCTAAATGATCTGAGTAGTGGAAAAGTCGTATCTAGACAGGGGCTGGTATCGACACCGCAGACTTCAAAACAAACTACACAGCATGTTAACCATACTACTTTCCAACAATGCACAAGCAATCAATGTACAGTAGAACAAAGTGCAAAGTCAACTTACTCAGCTCCATGGATGCCTAGTACTAGTGCTGGAACTGGTAATTTTATGACTGGCTATTCTAACAATGCAAGTTCTAGTTTTATTATTGTATAAAATATTTCGTTATACAAAATTTACAGGAAGATGGGATAGTGCGACACTTTATCGTAATACAGGTTGTCCAGTACGTGAATCATACGGTTATCATAGCACAAGTGGTGATCTTATATCACCTGGTGATAATAGAGATTCGGATTCTGAATTATGGGTTGAGTCCTCAACAGCATCTCTTCCGGACAATTCCAATTTGAATGCCAGGAAGGTTAATCTCATTTCTACGCTTTATCATCGAATAATGGCTAAGAAACTAATGCTCAATAAGCATGCTGCGTTTAATCAAAGTGGTGATTCCAATCTGGTTAATATATTTACTATTAAACAGATTTAAACCATGTTGAACAAACTATGTCTTATTAAATTATTTTAAACAATATTCAAATAGGAAAATGAATTATGTAACGAACGGTTAGATGGGTTACCACCAATTGAAAAAGTAATGCTGTGGAGCGAACAAGAAGCCACAATGAAGCAAGTTACGCAAATTGGTACCTCCGCCTGTGGTGCTACATCCGCAATTAATGCTTTGGTAATATTAATACTTAAGTATATAGTGTGCGGTCCTCTTAATGCTGCAAATGCTTTGAAATATTTGATTAATTAGAAAAAATTTTACTAATTGACCAATCAAAAAATGTTTCAAAGCATTTATGATATCAAGTGGATAGCCATAAATGTATAAAAATTATGAAACTTACAAATTTCTGCAGTAGTTTGATTGAATCTGTTCATATATAAATCATCTATTTTTTAGTTGGCTTTAAATGTATCATTTTCCCTGGAAGTATTAGTTAAAGGTGTAAATACAAAATTGAGAGAATTGAACGTACCGCTACCAAGGTATCTTGTCAGTCGTTCAGTAGCGGGGGCAACTCATAAAGACATAGCACGAGGGATATCTCTGTCCACGAATGGTGCTGCTGTAACAAAATTTTTTGCATTTTATCCCGAAAGAAAAGTGTCATTATCCCATTGGTTGCATTATTGGATTTCCAAAGGTGATTACAGATTAAAGAATGTATTATTCTTTAAACAGATATGTGTGCTTAAATAAAATTATACATATTATCGAAGTATATAATAAATGTAAGCGTGTATAAAATATATTATATTTTTACATTTTAGGTGCAGCACCAATCGCAACATTAAATCTACAACATTGCGGAGAAGGTTGCGATATACCAGACGCATGGCATCATCAGATGATATTCGGCGTGGGACAAGCTGGTATATACTTAACAAACCCTTTAGAGTGTTTGCCTGAACAGGTTTGTATGATCGACTAATAACGTTTTTCACTGATAAAACACTCGAATTTAATCATAATTTTATTTCGTGATTTTTAGCTCGTATGGCATCAATTAATTAGTCCTAGTGTTTTATTAATAAGAAAAACAGACGTTCTAGCACATTGGAATGAAAATTCAGATCTAACACCGCTTGCGACAATGGATCAAAAGTGGCGAAAACTTAATGTCCTTGGTATGTTATATTTGTATTTATTTGTGTGTGTTATTAAGTTGTGTGTGTGTGTTTTAGTTGCAATAGTAATTTAAATAAAACATACATTTGTGATACAGGGCAAGTTGTAAATATGGTACGAGAATCAATGAGTCAAAGACAACAACCTAATAGTACGACTACTGGAGCGACTCACATTCGCATTCCGGCATCTTACCAAGCAGGCATTATATTGGTCATGTGTGCCGATTCTGCCGCAGCCACCGAATTGTTACATGCAGAACAACTACCATTGCTCTAGTCTCATCGATCAAAAATTAACAAACCGGACTGCTTCACTTGGTTCATAACAAATTTTATTAGCGAGCTAGCTTATACACAATGTTCTTATTAATAGTTCATTTATTATATAAATCAACAGGATGGATACAATTTACATTTTTGACATTAAACGCGTTTGTATTCAAAGAGAATATTGATTAAAATATATTTCAATAGAATATTTTCGTTTTATACATAGTAATATTCAATTATACTAAACTACAAAGATATAATATGCTTTTTTATAGATGCTTGTAGTCGAAAGTAAGCTTACCTTGACAATATTCATTACGGATATTATTTCTATGAACAGAATATGAGATAAGTGATATTAGTAATTTGATTTTCCGTTGCTTAATTTTCTTCATTTATATTTATTGATTTTTTCTTTAAGAATGCATGCAATAATTGCAAGTTTATCTTACAACAGTATCCTGTTAATCAAATGTGTGAACAAAAACGAACATTGTATTTTGTATAAATTTTAATATAGAGTATCTTATTACACATATTATCTTATGTCGGAATCACGAAGAAGTGTTTGTCACAGATATGTTGACGAAAGAATAATGTTGTGCTGATAAAGCCATAAATATTTTATGTACACATAGATAATGTCCAACATACTTTTTTCAGTATTTTAAAGAGGTCCTTTCTTTTATAAGTCCGACATGCTAAAATGAGAATTCTTGTTATACAAGGAATTGTTAATATAATCATATACTATATCTGTTTTCTTTTTAGTCTTACCTTTCTATAAAAGGTGCACGCATACTCGATGTAATAGAAGCTGGATTAGCTTCGTTAAGTTTGAAAACGCTCTCAATACGAGCGATTTCTGTCGAGGTTGTGTCCATGCCACAAAAAGCAGCCCAATCATTTACGACCATACCGGCAGCGATTACGTTACTGCCCCTGTTCACTGTTCCGGTCTAGAGAAAATACAATTATTAATTACAACAATAGAGAATCACATAATATTTGTTTATCTTACCGCAAGTGGCACTTGCAGAAGAGAAGACAACTCGTCTTGCTCTTGAATAGGCATATTTGGATGCACCAAACCACCTTGGTTGGATAAAATGGAATATGAGCCGACAAGAACATTACTTGCAATAGTTTGTCTAAATACTTCCACATTTAGAGTATCAGCTAAAATTTCTTCAGTTTCCTTCGATTAAACATACAAAATTAGAGCCATTAAAGTAACATATTTCAATTACAAATTTCTTAATGCAATATAATAGATGTATAAAAAATTTACCTTATCCAGATCTGGATGAACTAAGGCGACATAATCATTACATGCTATAACATTGCCTAGAGCAGAGAGTCTCTCTTCCACTCTCTGTACCTTCACATTATCTGGTAAGGAATTCCGAATATGTTGTAGTTCTGTATCTGTCGTTGTATTTGGTACTAATAATCCATTCTTGTTCGCTATATTGTAAAGATAAATACTTGTGAGCAATATATGTATACACAGATAACATATAGGTAAGAAAAATTATAACCTTCAAAAACGTTCAAATTTTTTATGAGATTGACTTTTTTTCTATAAGAAGAAATAAGTACAATGCAGAGTTGGCATTTTTCAGTTGTTAAAAATATTATAAATAAAAAGTATTTTAAATTGATTAGAATAGCAGCAAATATACATAAGAAATTTTTTTTAAATCTTTATATTATTTTAATTGTTACTTATAACTTAATTATTTATAATAAGTAATAAGTAACACAAATATATCATTGTTATGTACATATATTCATTAGATAATATATAATTATTTGTATGTAAACATATATTGAACAAATAAATAATGTTAGCTAATAAGTAGATAATAACTAATGAAATATGAAGAGATTTTTCCAGGAAAGTTTCTTATGTATTAATCAAATGCTGATTTGTTTTTGTGCCATACTACTGGTATATTCTATAATGGCAATACTAAAAATTTACAGTTTAAGTTACATATGGATTTTTAATACTATCAATATATTTTAGAATGTATCCTAATATTTATTAATCAATTAAAGACTGTTTACTCATTATTGCTTTGATAAAAAAGTTATTATACTTTAATATATTTACCAACACAGAGTCGACCTATGATACGGCATCCTGCTACTGAAGCGTGAATAACTGGAATTGCCTCAGCTAATTCTGCCTCAAATACGCTGCAATTATATCACAATGAACCATAAAATTATAACAATTGTAGTGCAATCACAGTTAAAATCATGATATAGAATACTGCAAGATGATAGTAATGTTTATAAACAATATTCAATACTAAAGAACGTTAATGTAAGAACATAACTAATACGAATACGAAGCCTATAACAGTCTAGCTTAGATCTTTAAATCCTAATATATAATTTCGCGTGAATTTATATATTAATATACATAACCCCCCAAATTGTAATATTTATATTATAAATTATATTTTTTTACATATTATAGTATATATTTTAAGTATATTATAGTGTACATATTAAAGTTTGATGCTTATCATCTCAGTTTATCTTGCTTAATAATGTGCATTATTTTAAAATACATTTTTGAGGTTATGACGTAAAAATAAGCCTATCCTGATATTATTATCCCAAATATTATCGCTTTTATTAACAAATAAAATCAATTAATTAAAAGATATCAGGTGCCAATGCATATTTCATACGATTGCGTTATGGATGACGTCATGCTTACCTATAAAAGTTTTCGGAACCGCCGATCGCTACCAAACAGTAGGAGTTCGTCAACTTTGAAAAGACGCCGATTTCATTGTTGTTCTCGAATTGCACGCGCACCGCCATGACCGTAGAAACGTTGCAAGCTTTTACATCGGCGTTCTTAGATCGAAATATTATGCAAACACTCTCGGTGTTCGTGCGATCAGGCTCGTGCGCGAACGCTAACCTCGAAAGTTTGGCAAATGCTGTTAGCTGTTCGCGGGCACGCTACACGAGGTATTTGATTTCATCATGGAACACGAGATGGCAGCACTCGCGGCGTCGCGGCCTTTATAGTCCCTAGAAATTATGGCGGTGTACAATGAAGAAATAGGAATATAGAAAAAAGAATTTCAACCTATCAGAAACTGTATATTCCATAGTGCATTGTTTCTAATTGGTTTAATAGAATGCATAAGTCATGTATGTCTTACCTGCTATACGTGTATTATATATTTTGGTAAATAAAATTTTTTCTATTAAAATTAATATTTATATCTCCCATTTTATATATGTATAAATCTCTTTTTAAGGACTTCAATATTTTCTACAATATTATTTGATTGCATAATATTTTAATTTTCTTGTAGGATTGGTTGAAAGTAATCATATGAAAAATCCTTTTTAATAATAATTTTGTATTTTAAAACACAGTAGCTTATGGCATTTTAACTTTTGTTTATTTATACATAGATACATATTATTTTAATTTTTCGTAATTTTACATTTACCATTATCAATTATTTTTTAAAAGGTTAAAATTTCAATTTTAATTATGTTATGTTCTAAATATTAAACAGAAGTGTGATTTATAATTAATTGTATTAATTGTATTCATTTAATGATACAAAACGTAATATATAAAAACATATATATGTAAATGGTAGGAAATGTACTTTACCGCAGAAAATTATATAAATATTATAATAAGAATAACTACTGTTTTTATGACTGAATTAATATATATTTTATATCTCTCTATAAAAAAGATAAATTATACATATATTTAAAATTTAACGAAAAGACAAAAAGTTTTGATACATTCTAATGAGACGCCACACATACACAAAGACCAATTTCATTATTATTGTATATGGCATTGCATTGTTCACATTCTTGCAAAATAAGTTTTTGCAAGTTTTGGACAATCTAAATTTTTACGTAGCAAAAACAAATTAATAAATTTTTCTTATTATATTTACCGATGTCTACTTTTCAATGGGATTTATCTTTGATCAGGATTAACGTAATGCAAAAGCGGGAAGTTTTATCCTGCATCTTTTTCACCGTCACGCGAAATCCATAATCTTGTGGTCGAGGAACTTGATCTGGCACTCGGATTTCAATCTTCTTCCATTGTTGATCAATATACAGGTTGCGAGACGTATAACTGAATCTAAATCATAATTTATTAGCGAGATGGTAAGCAAGGTAAATAAGAATGAATCGTAAAATATTTCATCCCTTTGTATTTCATGTAGTGTCAATAAAATTTAAAATAAAGATAAAATGTTACAACATGTAACATTTTATCTATAACAATTGTAATTACTATAACGTTTGAGTTATTAAAAAGTAATCACAATAAAAAAAATAAAGTAAATAGCAGTCTGCTATTAATTAATTAAAAATAATAATATAAAATAAAAGTCTTATAATCCATACCACATTTGACTATTCTCTTACTCCAGTTGAATTGAAAAGTTTCAACTCTAATTTGCCCTCCCCCCCAAACAAAATCCTACGCCCATGAATATCAAATTTTTTATGCGCTGAATAGTTTCGCAAAAGCTAAAATGTAATTTTGTAAAAGAATCATAATTACTTCATAATGTGACGTAAATTTTAGTCTTTATTATAAAATGTAGCATTTTATAGTATGCAACAATAGTTTTGTCATGTAATTCTAAAATATAAACCAAATAAAAAAAAGCGATTGTAAAATGCAGAATTTGAAGAGTAAAACGCAGAGTATACTTACGTTGGAATATACTTCTCGTTATAACAAATTGTCAAGAGTTGATAACATGATAACCATAAGTATATGTATTTGTATAATAATCACGTAAAAAGGACCTTAACTTTCTAGGATTGGATTTGAAAGGTTTTAGGTATTATAAATTTATTTATGACAATAATCTTCAATATATTTTACTGACAATCGAATTTTATCTCTTCGTATAAGAGTATCATTAACGATTAACTTATTATTCATACTGCTTGCTCTAAAGGTGTCAATAAAAATAGTGGCTGATGAAAACCATCGTTTTATTAACAATGTTATTGTAAGCGTTATAAATATGCATAGTGTGTTCTCGTTTTGATTGGTTCTGGAGATCGTCTTTCCGAAATTGTCGGTAGTACATTTTAGCTAGAGTTTCGTCGCGATTACGTCT